ATAACAAATTTAAAATTAAATATTTTTAAATGAATAGTGTACAGTGAACAGTGACTGTACCGATGCATTGCTACAGTACCGTGAACAGTGTATCGATACACCAAAATTTTGAATAAAAAATGTGTATCGATGCACTGTATACTGCTACAGTAATTTCTGCAAACATGCATAAAACTCATAAAAATTTAACCGTGCATCACTATACAACTACCATTTACATAAATACGTTTAAATTCATTTGAAACATTTTTATTAAAATCTATTACATGCCGACTAAAATATAACTAAAACAACTCATTATGTCATACGGTTACTGATTATGCGACCTTGATTGAATATCCAATATCTCCTTACAAGCTGTATTCAACCTACACGTGAAATAAACACACGTTAAGTATTACTTAGTGAGGCATAAATAATCACGAATAACATTTCTACATACAAATTATCTTATGATATTTCCTCTCCAAGGAATCTTTAATTCCAATGAATATACTATAATCTGCATTACTGATGCCAATAACTCATTTATCAATCATTATTGGAATCCATACATTCTATAGGAAATTCATACAATTCATGTAATTTCTTTTTAATATTAGCACTATCAGTGCTCTATCTGGAAAATCATACACTTAGTATGCTTCCCTTTTCATTTTAGCACACAAAGTGCCCTATTCAAAAATCCATACAATTAGTATGATTTTGTTATCATTTTAGCACATAATATGCCCTATATGGAAATCCATATTTTCAATATGATTTCCTTATCATTTAGTACCTTTAGTGCTTTATCTGGAAACCTATACACTCAGTATGATTCCCTTACCATTTTAGCACATAATATGCCCTATCTGAAAATCCATAATTTCAATATGATTTCATTATCATTTAGCACACTTAGTGCTCCATATGGAAATCCATACACTCAGTATGATTTCCTTATCATTTTAGCACACAAAATGCCATTCGGTAATTACTATACATACATAAATAGATCATGCTATTTTAACTATTATCACATGTACGTACGTAATTAAATGCATTCACCTGGTTCGCCTTGCTATTATTTCCAATACGCAATTTCGATTACTCAGCTACTTTGTCTTTGCCTTTCATTTTGCTAGACTCAGGAGCTTGATTTTGATCTATTCAAGCATCCATTAAAGACACATTCAATATCATTTATTAGTATATTGAAATCTTTCATTTCTTAAACTAAAAGAAAGGTTATTTTTATCTCTTAATGAAGGTATGTATCGATGCATTCTACAGTTTATCGATGCATCCCTTAACGTATACATTGATGCACTATCTATGCATCGGTACACAAATCCCATTCGATATTTTTATCTTAAGGGGGTGCATCGATGCACTCCTTATGCATCGATGCACTAATTACATTCGATGCTCATTTATTTAGGAGTACATCGATACATACTTCCTATGTACCGATGCACTTTGCCCAGAAATCTCATTTCAAGCACAAAATTCACTTCATTCAAACTCAAATGCTCCATATTTTAACATCTTTCATACCCTTAACTCAAATACCTTCATTTAAACTCATTTATACACATTTACCACATCCTTAACCTCAAAATCTTATCTTCTACATGAGATTCAATAATCATACCCAATTTTCAACATGTTCTAAATCCAATTCTAACAATTCATTTTTCTTAATTAACTTGACGACAAGTCGAATCTACCATAAAACATTCATAAACCTTCATATTTCATCATGTCACTCAAAAACCCATTATCTTTAATCTCAAATATCTCATCAATAACTTAGTTTTAATCTCATTTAAACCTTCATTTAGCTTCCATAATATACAAAGCTTCAATCCCCATAAAAAATAAAAGGAAATAACCATTAAATCAAAAACTTACCTTTGAGCTGAATGGGAGAGCTTTTCACGGCAAGAAGAGAAGAAGATGAAAGGGTTGACTTCCTATTCCCCTCTTCATCTTATCTCTTATCTTAATTCCCCACTAATTGAATATTAAATTCAATTTAATCCAAATGACCAAAATATCCTTTTAATCATCATTTCTTACAATTTAGTCTAAGCTATGAATCCTATTCATCCTCATCTTTCATTATTTAATTTAATAAATCCTCATATTTTTAAATCTTTTCAATTTAATCCTTAAATAAATTTTTGGGGCATTACACAAGTTACTTGAATGTATGACGATCGTCTATTAAACACGTATAAGATATCTATATATACTGTTATAAATGCTAAGACACATTAGTATTAGTGCAAATACACTTCCGTATTAGTGTTGAGGCACTTTAGTACTAGTTCTAAGGCACTTTCGTTAATCGATGATGCCACAATACATATATCTTATTCTATATGCGCATTTATATTCGATATTTTGCTATGTGTCATGCTTGATGCATTTCGTTACCTAATGACCATACTTATTAGCATACACAATTAATTGATGTATGTAGTAGAGTTATCTGTGTGGCACTGAGCTCATAGCTCAATGTTCAGAATTTGTTTCTATTTGTAGGTCAATAAGTGCCAGTTGATGAGCTTATCTCCAGATTGCGGATTCCAGATTTCATCGAGCTGTAGAGTACGTCTCGATTATTTTAAAGGAGATGTATTTTTATAGACCTATATATATAACTGAGTCGTATCTCTTTTTGTTAAACCTAATATTAGTTCAAAATGTTATTTGGGAGCTCCCCACTAACACTTATGTTTTAAATTTTTATGGTTTATTTAATTGTGCGCAATGGTTTCACACAAAAAAAACATGTTAGTCGTTTTGGCAGTTCTGTGTAATATCCAAATCTTCTAGATTTTGGTTCGAATCAGATTTGGGAGTTACACATTGCTTCATTTCACCATTATTGAGATCTATGGCGCCGATAAAATGTTGCGACAGTGGGGGTTCCTTCAATCATTCCAACACAAATATTTAACATGGATGAACTCCACAAAATTGATGTGCATGGGAAACATAAAGATGATTGCCTGAGAAAGCATGTTGCATACATCTAGACTTGGAATGATAGGCATTTATATGTACCTATTTGTTCTGTTTTAGTACCAGATGATCTTAATTTCACAATTTCGCTCTACCTCTAAAATTATGAAGCAAATGAAAAATCATATGTAACAACATCTAATGATAGGGTCGAATGGGAAGAAACGAAGGCAAAATATGCAACGACCATGAAATCATCATCATCATCTTCTTCTTATTCGGTATATTTTGCTCTCAAGTAAGTTATGGTGTATATTCCCATATCATGCTTTAATAGAGAGCCGACTGAAGTGGGTAGGAGGTTCATAGGATGCAGTGTAACCCTCTCAACCATATTTGACATAATATGTAGGTCCATGAGATGCATTTGTATATGCTCAATCATCTAGTGATTTTGGTGGGCAATTTGAGTCAATGACATCAATGATGTCGTCAAATACCTTAAATTCCCATCATTATCATTTGAAGGTGGAAATCAAAGTGGTGAACTGATGTATAATACAACAATTCAAGAAGCAATCGAAGAAGAAGAAGATGAAAGCATACCACCGCAAAAAAAAAAAATCGACTAGACCCATGTCATTATCATTCAAACACTCCTCGATATAGTCATGAATTAAGAAAATATAAGTAAAATTTATTATTAGTCACTTTATTTAGATTAAAAAAATTAATTATTAGTTTGTAATAAATTATTTATAAAATAAAGGAAAATATTAATATATTAAAATTTTATTTTTTGATTTTAAATTTTAAAATAAACAGAAATAATATGAAAATAAAATAACAACAATATTGGAAATGAAATAAAAACAAGAGTTAATTAATAAAAAAATTCAACCGAATTATTTCCATTGATTCATGATTTGATTAAAAAAATCTAATCGTTGGAACTCATCACTCCTACATAACAAGTTCCTATATAATTTTAAAAAAATCTACATGTCGCCTAACGTTCATGTAACAACTATGAATTTCAAATTCAAAAGTGAGTTTCATGAATTTAAAAAATTCAAAATATATAATTAAAATATATTAGTTTAATTAATATAAAAATTAATGTATTTTAATGAAACTCACCATACAAACGTGACGCTTTCTAAATAAATTAATAAATAAATTGGCCTTATGGGGCCACAAGTTAAAGCCCATTAATTAATAATATCTGAACGAACTCGTCATAAATGGGTGACGAGTTCGCCCTATACTATAACAAATACCGTAGAATGCAAAATAATATTGAGGTAAACTTATTGGGTCTAATAATTAATCCGCTTGGATTATTGACATAATTTTACCCCAATTCAAGTATAAATATAATTTAATTTTTTTTGAAATAGAATGAATAAATTCATTTGAAAAAATAAAACGAAAAAAAAATTAATTTGGGAAATATATAATTGGTCCCCTGATTATGTAACGTTGTTTTGTTGAGCCCATTTGGCTATTAAAAATTACAAAATGACAATCCGATTATAGGATGTTGTTTTATTAAGTCACTGACTATTAAAAGTTACAAAATGGTCATCCGACAATTCATATGTTCTAAACTTATCATTTGCCATTAACAAATTGACGACAATCTTAATTGGACCTTAACCTGTTGACTAAGATATTATAAAATTCAATCTCAAAATCGTTTAAGCTTTATTTTGTGGATCTACTTTCCATTTACATTATGATGCTGAGCTAGTGTTTAAAATATTATGTTACGCAAGCCAATACTTGAAAGCAACAATGATGGATAAACATCATTAAAATATGATTTTATTATATTTTAATCTACAAATTAATGTCCAGCTCAGACGACCGTCAAATTCTAATATCTTAAAATTAAGAGACAAATTTATAACTTTTAATCATTAAAAAAATCAACAAAATAATACTCCATAATCTAAAGATCATTTGCATACTTTGGGCAATTAATTAACAGTACGTATAAAAAATACAAACCCCAAACAAGAGACCCACAAGAACCACAACAGCTCTTTCGCTCCGCAGTTTTGTTCAGAAGAAAGTGTAAACAAATTTCCGGAACCTCAGAAAAAAAGACAACTCGGCACCGCCACGCGGAACGAGTCAATTCGGCGGCACTCGTCGTTCGATTCCATTCTTCATCATCTCAACATCTATTATCCCTGATAGTGAGTTTATACAAAGAAAAACAATTGAAATAATAATCGATAACTTTTTTATTATCAATTTGATTGATTAAAAACGGATTCGTTCGTTCACTTACTCCCTTTAATTTGGTAGGATCCAAGGCGGTTTTCGGAGATTTTCGTTGTCGGTTTTTTTAGTTTTTAGAATATATTTTATTGGTTTTTTTCTTTTATAAAAAATAATTTTGGTGATGTTGGATTTTCGGGAAGGAGGGGTGAGGGGCTAAGGTTCTGGTGGGTAATGATTAGGGTTTTTTCGTGTGGGTTTGGAGATGGATGAGAATTCTGAGCTTGAAGAAGGAGAAGCTTGCTATTACAGAGATGATGACGGCAAAATTAACCCCGATACCGCTTTCTCTTACCTTGTAAGGGTTCAATTTTTTTTAAATGAACATTCTATTGATTTTACATCCGTTTTTATGTTTTGAACTTGGGGTTATGCTTTAATTGATGCAATTTGGGTCTTTTGATTGGAATTATGCTGAATTCTAAGTTGGATTAAGCATTTATGCCACTTTGTAGGCAATGCAGTTCTATCAAGCTTTATTGCTAGGAATGGTTTAATCTTCGGTTTATAGACATGAAGGGGGATTTAACTAATTGCTAACTAGAATAACTTCGGGCTCTTATTATGAATTAGAATCACACGAGGCTTTAAGCTTGTGGTGTTTGACCATGGATTCACCTAAGTATTGAAGTCGACTATAGAGGATGAGATCATTTGGTTATTTTTAATCTTGGTAGACACAAGTGTTATCTTGATATACTTTGTAGGCAACAGCATGGTTTTGATAGGTTAACTTTTCATCAGTAGGAATGTGAGAGAACTAGCAGAATATATTTTAAAGCCCCATTTTGTGTCTTTGTTCAGTTTTGTATTTTGTTATGGTTTGTGATGGCATTAAAATGTTGTCTTGCGCTCAGCAACAAATTGATGCATGATAAAAACTGCCTTGCGCGGATAATCTTTGAAACTTCCTCAAATTTAGAATTTTATTTGATGATAGTTTTTGTTTGAATGCACGATGTGATTAACTTTATCCGTTCTCTTAATTTATTTGATCTAATTCATATTAAGTAATATTTAATTTCATACGTTATTATTGAGTTCCTTAAAAGAATGGAGATTAAGATGATAATAATAGTTGGCTTCTTGTGCCCATTTTAATTGAATCTGGTCAATATATAAGCTTCATGTGCCACTTTGTAGGCAGTGCAGTTCTATTAAGTATTGTTGGAACGGCTAATTGAAATTATGATTAATTTTGGGTTTATTAGACATAAGGGGTAATAAAACTACTAACTAGAATAAGCTGTGCCTCATATGAATTAGAAATTTAGAATCCTACTAGGGTTTAGGTTTTGTGGTGTTGGATCATTGTTTTACAGAAGTTTTGAAGTCAACTTTTGAGGATGAGATTATTATGTTCTTTGCAGACTTAGTAGACAGTTTTTTGACACGCTTTTGTAGATAAATGCTTGTTTTAGCAAGGTGAAGTTTTCATCACTAGGAATGTAATAAAACTAGAAGAATATGTTTTAATGCCCCGTTGGTGTCTTTGTTCAGTTTTCTAGTTAGTTATACAATGGGTGTAGTGTTAGAATGTTGTCCTGTTTCTCAGCAACAATTTGATGCATGATAAAATTTTCTGTCTGGATGATCTTAAAACTTCACGTTCAGAGATTTTTAGGATGATGATGGTGTTTGTTTGAATGCAAAATGTGATTTAACTTTATTAATTCTCTTAATTTATTCGATGTAATTCATATTTGCAATATTAAGGCATGATTAGTTTCATATTTGCAAAATTATGGCAATATTTCCTAAAATGGTTGGACTTTGAGACGATACTAATACTTGTGCCCATTTGTAATTCAATATATATCAGCTTTAACATACAATCTTCAACGTTCTCTGTGTTATTCCATTAGTAAAGTGAGATTTCATTTCTTAAAGGATGAGAAGATTAAAAACGTTTTGGGTCATTTTCGGAAAGAGTTTGAAGGCGGCGTTTCTGCAGAAACCTTGGGTAAGTGTTTGATCAAAGTTTTATAAACTTAAAATACTATTGCAAGGCTGATGTTTGAAGTTGATGATGAAGACTAAAATTTCTTAACAGGTGCAAAATTTGGTGGGTATGGCTCATTTTTACCTACCTATGAACGTTCTCCTTCAAGATTATCACATCAAAAGACACCACAAGGGAACTCCTGCATACAGAGATCTACAAACAATTTATCCATGGAGGTATATGATCACTATCCATTCTATATTTGATATTTTCTTGGAAGATGATGTACCTACCTGTTGCCTAGACAGCTTCTGAAATTCATGCTTAATTGGTTGCTGTGGATTCTGGTACGATACAGGTTGCATTCCAGAATTCAAAAGCTCCTCCAAGTGCACCCTTAACTGTGGGACCTGGGAATGCTTCCTGTTCAAGTGGAAATATTGCTGCTAAACATGATTCTCATTTGTCTTTTAATCATGTTGCTGGGAAGCCTGCCTTAAAGGATGTGAGTTTTAACAGAGATGAGATTCCCACTGACCAGAAGACACTGAAGGTCCGAATTAAGGTGGGATCTGATAACAAATTTCAAAAGAACTCCGCAATCTATAGTGGCCTTGGGCTTGATGATTCTCCATCTTCGTCGTTGGGGAACAGTCCAGATGAAAGTGGAGGAACAGTGACGGCTTCTCCAGGAGCGAAAAATGAATCACCTACTAAAATTCTTCAGGTAGAGTTGGTTGTTTAATATGTCTGAGTATGAACTAAGAAGGGGGTGTTAATGTTTTATGCTTTTATACAGGTTATGACTTCCTTCCATGCCCCTGGTGGTCTACTCATATCTCCTCTTAATGACAGCCTGCTATGCTTATTAAGGAAGGAGAAGGAAGGACCTTCTAGAGATATTACAACTATCCCCATGCTTAAGGGATGTCGAGGAAATTCTTCTGGGTTAATAGATGAGTACATTTTGGGTAATGGAAAAGAACCCAGTGAGAAGAAAACAAAATTTTTAATTGCGAAAAGCAAAAAGGTGCTGGAATCGAAGCATGGAAATTGTGTGAAGGTTGAGAATGATAAGAAGCTGCTCATAAGAAAGAAGTCTGAAAACAAGATTGCAGGAGGGAAGGAGTCGCTGGCTAATGACTTGAAACACACATCTCTATCTAATTCAGTGAACGTTGCTGGCGCTATGGATGCCTCACCTAGGGTATGCGATATTTCTGTGGATGCCAATCAGGATGGATCAAGAGGTGGATTATTTTCCTCTGACTCATCAAAGAAGGATTATTTGGAGTCAATATCTGGAAGGAATAGATCTAGTGGCAAGAAGAAAAAACAGGATATTCTGCTCTGTTCAGTTGAAAAGGCTCAGGAACAGAGTGTACTAAGTTCTGATAAGAATGCTTCACTTGACCTTGTGGATTATGGTGGCAGTAAATGCAACCAAAATACTGCCCCTTTAAAGCGTAAGGAAGTTTCAAAAGCAAAGGTTGGTCAGGAAGCTACATTTCATGTTCAGAATGAAATAAATATTCCCTCTGAAAACACATTGTTTGTGGGAAAAAAGTCAAAAGGTAGCGAAAATGCGGGGGAATTGCTGCTGATTCAATGAAGGAAAGTTTGAGACTTGATGTGGGTGCAACACCTAAAGATAGCACCAGTTCTAGTCAGAGTTTATCTTCAGGTAAAAGTAAGATGCATAAGTTGAAGTTGCTGAAGGATAAGGTCCGAGATAATCATAGAGATGCATTTGACGCCAATTTCAAACAAAAACATGAAAAAATGGATTCATCAACAAGGCTTGTTCACAGTAGGCCAAAAGAAATATTTAGCGATAGAACAGTTGACAACCAGCTGTTGGGAGTGGATGCTCCAGGTGTGGTTCATCATCTCACCGATAAGACACTTGCCTCGCAGACAACAGCATTGACAGCTGCTGCTCCTGTTCTCATAGAAGAAAACTGGGTTCAGTGTGATCGTTGTCACAAGTGGCGACTTTTGCCTTTTGATACTAGACCTGAACAACTCCCTGAGAATTGGTTGTGTAGCATGCTTAACTGGCTGTAAGTTCCTTAGATGTCCATGAAATAACGATTTTGTTGCGAATGCTTTGCCCTTTGTTTGATTATACCCCATGTACATTTATCTGCTAGTGCACCTGATGCTTTTTGATGTGCAAATAAGTAGAAACGCATCGTGAATCATGGGTGCATTCATAGATGCGTTGTGTATTTCTGTGAACTGTGAACATATTCTTGTAATTTTACTTTTGCTGATTTTTGTTGTTGAATTTTTTTTTAGGCCTGGAATGAACCGGTGCAACATTAGTGAGGATGAAACAACGAAAGCTCTTAATGCATTGTACCAGATACCGGTTGCTGAGAATCAAAATAACCCAACCTTGTCAGCTCATCTTCAGCATCTTGATCAGAAAAACTCTAGTTTCAATTCTCAGGTATCATCAATTCAAAGCAAGAACCGTGGCACAAAGGAAGTGTGCAAAGTGAGTAAAGGTGGCCTGAGCCAGATGTCAAAAACTAAAATGAACCAGCAGCAAGAATCTTTGAAAAATAGGTCCTTAAAGAACATGACCCAGGTTCCTGTTGAATCAAATCTCACAGATAAAACTAGCTTTCAGCAAAATGAGAAGAATCCAGTTGCAGGTTTAATCCATTCGAGAGCCTAAATTATACTACCAGTCCAACTTTTATATTGAGAGACTAGTTGTTTATTTTTTGGGCATTTGTTTAATTGTAGGAGTGACCAAGCAAGCACAGATGAAAAACAAGAGGGAGTCTGGTCTGTATCCGAATGAAGGTTCAAAGAAAGCCAAAACAGAAGCTGTATACACCACCGATAAACATCAGAGTTCTAACCAGGACATCAGAACAGTGAGCCTTAACACAAGCACTGCTTTGCCAACTCAAGCAAATGGAAAACGTGTGCAGAATTATAATGAGTACTTCAATTCTGGCAATGTAAAGCGTGATTTGAAAGAAAGATCAGTAGTTTCTGTTAAGAAAGTTGTGGATCAAACTCGGGCCTCATCTGATGGTATGCCATTAGACATGAAAAGAAATGGTAAAATGGCTCCTGTGAAGAAAAGGAAACTGGATGACCGGGAGGACTGTCAAAATGGGCACAAGTTATATATGAAGGAAGAAAGTAGTGAGAGTGGCTTTTGGAATGGAAAGAAATCACGAGCTTCAAAGATTGAGGGGAAGCAGTCTCTTCGAAATGATGGTAATGGCACATTAAACTGGAAAAGAATGGATCCTTTGATTGGTGGCACTGAAGAAGTCAGAAGCATTGATAGGAACCAACAACTTAGAAAACACAAGGAAAAGTCCTCTTCCCAAATAACTTTGGATGGCCTTGATTCATTGAGAAGGGATTCTGAAACTGGACTAATTTCGAAGGCTGCAATGTCTAGCTCTTCAAAGGTTTCTGGTTCTCATAAAACAAGAGTAAACTTTGAAGAAGCAAGGGGTTCACCAGTCGAGTCGGTTTCTTCGTCTCCCATGAGGACCTCATATCCCGGAAAGTTTGCATTGAACAAAGGGGAGGAGCATTCAGGGAAGAATGCTGATGCTAATACCTCCATTACCCCAAGTGGCAATTCTGGAAGATGTTGGGATGGAGAAGGTATTGTTGAGCTTGTTCAATCTGTTCCAGAAATGAAAGAGAAAGTGTCAAGTGATTTTAATCCTAAATCACATAAATATTCTACCGTGGATTGTCAAAATAGAGATTCTGTTTGCAAAATTAGCATTAAAACAAAAACTTCTAGATTGGGGATTAGCCATTTGGGCAATGGTGCTACACGTTTTGCAGAAAATGGACAGCATGCTCTAGAACGTCCCCATGGTGAGGATAGAGTGAACAGGGATTGCCAGGTCAATGCGTTTTCTCAGGAATCTGACAAGGGTTCACCGATAAAGAACAGTGAAAGTTCTGCTGCAGATAAGATGAAGGTTGATCCAGCATATCAATGGGAAGATTTGTTTTCTAGAAAGAACATGAAGTATCAGTCACATGTTGGTCCCAATGGTCATGGATGTCTTCAAGAAACAGTTGCTGATTGCAAACTCAATTTGCCAAAACCTAACAAGGATGAGAACTATGTTGAAAGGAGGGACCCTTCAGGACATTGGTCAAGTGGCAGTAGAAAGGAAGCCCGATTAAATAAAAAGCATGATGTTGACTCAAAATCTGCTGCTTCATGCAGCAAAAAGGGGAAGACTGCCCCTGAGAAAAACCTGATCCGGGATATTGATGGTCAAACTAAAGTAATGCAAGTGGAGACAAGAAGTGGATTCTCAAAATCATCTTTGCATTGCAAAGTCGAAAGTCAGCAAGAAATAAAGGGCCATCTAACAGCACCAGAAGCTGAACAGGGAGTTGTTTCTGATGGGTATTCAGTTAATGGCTCTTGTAATGTTGATTCGTCTGAGGCTATAAAACTTCTTGGAAAAGCTGGCAGCAAGAATGGATCTAACCACAGTTCGGGGAAACACATAGCTGACTTGCATATGGCTCACAGACCACTAAGAGAAAATTCCACTAACCAGACAGCAAATAATGCCCTGAATGATGCTGAGAAGCTTAGAAATTATGCTGATCGTCTTAAGGTTCGTTTTCTGATTTTTTTCCCTGACACATGCATGCCACTTTCTCAAAAGTTATTTGATAAGGTTTTTCTTATTCTAAATGTTTACTACCATTTCACTGTCTTTCAGAGTTCCGGTTTTGCTTTGGAAAGCAATGAGATTTACTTCAAAGCTGCTCTTAAGTTTCTTGGTGTTGCTGCCTGTCTAGAGAGTAACAATAGTGAGAGTGGTAGACATGGCGACACAAACCACATGCAAATTTATAGCACTGCCATAGAACTTTGCGAGTACGTAAATGCTTCATAAGTGATGGGAAACTGTTCTTTTTGTGTGTGTGTGAACTTCATTAGATTTGTCTGTTTATATTTACATTAGGAGTGTCTACGAAATCCTGTATCTTGCTCTATGCTGACTTCTCAAGTTCACAGAATGTGTGCCCAAGAATTTGAAAAAAGTGGAGAAATGATCGCTGCTGCTTTGGCCTATAAATGCATGGAGGTAGCATACATGAGGGTTGTTTACTGCAAAGATTCTACTAGCTGCCGTGACCGGAATGAGTTGCAAGCAACTCTTCAGATGGTTCCCCAAGGTTAGTAGCCAGGCTTGTTTTTCTGTGTGATTTGTCTGCTCATTTGGTGCCACTTGATAATATCTATTTTTGAAGTTTGAATCATTGGCAGTAATTGTGTTCATCTTATCTTCTAGAGAATGCCATTTCTTATTCCTTGTCTAGTTTAATTAGAAGATTCACCTAACTTTATAACTTGATAAAGCAAACTACAACAAGAAGGTGATTACAAGGGCTTTGGTTTTATATTTAAGAGCAATCAGCAATGCTTGTTTTGCTGGTTTAAGTCCCATTGAAGCTGCAACCAGTGGATATTTCCTGATGTGGCTAGAGCTCTAATTCTTATTGCATATCATGCTTTAGTGGGTCTAACATAAAATATACTTTAACAGATTATTTTTGTCTGTAAAAAGACTTTTTTTTGGGTTAAGATGGAACCTTATTTTTTTTTTTTTTGGATTTCTTCTTCAGGTGAATCTCCATCATCTAGATCATCTTCTGTATCAGATGTAGATAATAACTTAAATAATCAACAAACCGTGGAAAAGGCTCCATTAGCCAAGGGTTTAGTTTCACATGTTGGTGGGGCTCATGTGATTGTTGTTAGAAACCGCAGTTTTGTTCGGCTGCTCGACTTTGTAAGTTGATTCAGATCGCCAATTTTTCCTTCTCGTGCTTGCCTTTTCTGTTTAAATCAATTAGTTTCTATGTTTTATTAGGCAGTGATTTACACCGAGTATTTACTTTAGTAATTTATTTTTGATAAATTTTACTTTAGTAATTATTAGAAACTGTCTGTATGCAACGCTTTGCTCCTCGAATGTTCCTAATTCCTAGGTAGATGAGCTACTGTGCACAAACCCTTGAGGTATTTGGACTTGGATATATGTGATTGTGGTGGAAATAAGACGCTAATTTGAATGAAGTGCCAAAAAGGCTAATAGGTATATAAGCCGAATACGGTGCAGTAGATTGATGTCTGCAGTCTGAACCTACTTGTTGTAGACTTATCTGTTTTCCTTTTTAATTGTCAAGCTCCGGTTTAGGATGGAAAATGAAAATCTGTCAATGTCATGTTAAGCATAATAAGGTGGTTCAAGTGGGGTAAATGCATTAATATGTTCCTGTTCTGCAGACACAGGCAATGATTTTTGCTATGGGGGCTACAAGAAAATCCCAAAACGCTTTTACAGCCGCAAAGGCATCCCTGGAGAAAACACACAACCCTGAGTGGATTATTTCTGTTAGAAAGGTGATGCATTTCAACTTCCAGGATGTGGAGGGATTTATATGCTTGGTTCAGCAGGCTACGGAGGCCATTAGTCGTTCAGGTTTAGGCGGTGCTAGAGAATAAGTTACCATGTATATACCCTCTCTTGAAGGAAGAGGAAAAAGATGCCTGCTTAGACGTCATTTCGAAACAACCAAAGACTCCGGTCACCTACACCATGTTGCCTCTCTGTACATGTGTACAAAGTGGGACTAATCTGCAAAATTTTGATAATGTATATTTCTTATTTTTCTTTTTCCCACCTTGTTGACATTTTTAAGCACGGTCACCCTTAAGTTTTGTGGGTGATGGGAATTCTAGCTTTGTTTGAGAAATTCAATATGGTAGTATTTTTTTGCTCCATTTATCTTGGGGCCGTAAAAAGAATACATAGAGATGATTAGACAACCATTTTGAGGAGGTTGCATACTGATATACTGTTGATGGATGACTTCTATGAATTTATGCATCATTCTTCTCTTCACAATTTTGGAATGGTAAATGATAATTCTTTTTGCCAGTTCCATTGTATTTTTGATGACATACATCACTTAAGTTGATGATGTAGTATATCACATCATCTAAGATAATAAAATGTTATATCACTTAAGATAATATTTCGTCTGTTCTATTTTTAATGTTCATTGGAGACTTTTCACGTAATTTTAGGAAGAAAATGTTTGCGTAAGAGATGTGTTGTAAAAAAATTAAAATAACAATTTTATCTTTAAAAAAATTAAATTTTATTTAATTGAGAATCTAAAAAAAGGTAGAAAAGGAGACAATTTAGGTGAGATAATTTTAAAACACAAAGAGAGATTTTTAATGGGACAAAGGGAGTAATATTTTTAGAGTTACATCATCAAAGATGATACATTATATGTGTCAGCTAAATGTTAAGCACATGTGAAAATATCACATTAGCAATATGTATTAATTATTAGTCAACTAACTATTTTTATCCAGTATGAACTGTTATAAAAAATATAAAGACTAGAATAACCATTTGAATAATCCTAAAGAATTAATTTTAATATATATATATTTAAAATATCTCATTAAAAAATTTCCTCGTAACTCGATATTACCGGGTAAAATCACGATAGAGAAAGGAGAAAAGAGTGTTGGATGATACAATTTATTAAAAAATTAACGGGGACAATGGCATCTTATAAAACCAATACATCAAAGATCACTACAAACGAAAAGTAAAATTCAAGGCAACGTTGTAGAAAACACTGCCACCTCCCTCAAACCAGTCTAGCCATCCTAATGCAAAGGTTAATATGAATACAGCAATTCCATACTGTTGGCCTCTAGAAGCCCTTCTGCATCCAACATCTACGGCACTATGATACGCTCAGCTTTGCCAGGAACTCCAAACCCTTGCTTGTTGCTTTATATTCCAATTTGTCAATGCCTTACCATGCCGTTCTAATAACGCCGTGAGCTCCTCCAATAATGCTCCCATCACGAACTACGTACCAGTTCTCCCCATCCAAATTTGCTAGAACCTAGCAACATACAGCCTGAAATCATTTGAAAATTCGGACGCAGAGCAAGCAGTCGGCTCAACACTGTCGAATAACCTTCCTCAGTATATACTCCCCAAAAGCAGAGACAGTCACGTGACCAGCCTTTCTGTCTACGGGACAGATAAGCAGCTTTACGCCAAACCTCACTTAAGCGTCACTGCATTTTACTTATATCTATCTGCCACGTCAATTACATGATTGCCTCCTTTACCAACTTTTCTGCTACAGTATTCCGAGTCCTAGATGTGAATTTAACCGAGATGTTATCTAGAATGATAATACTCGAAATTGCTTTCGAATTAATTTTAACATTATATTTATTTATCGCTAAAAGTGATGCAATTTTCAACCAATCTCTCCGAAAAGATACAAACTACATGAATAGTTACTAAAAAGATATAGTGACGAAATCTCTGTAGTGACAGAAATCTACTTGTCGTAAAAATATTCCTTTTAAGAGAACAAAAGGTATTCTATTGCGGCAGTAAATTTGTGGTCGTAAAAAAGTTTAAGATATAAATTTCAGCCATAAATATACTGTTTATGATAAGAATAGTCTTTGCAAACACATTTTAGTGTGAAAGTTCTATCCATATCAAATGATTGTCAGCACAGACGAACACAATATTTTACGTTAAGAGGACGAATTTATAAAATTTTAAGAAGAGATGGACTTATAAAATTCTATGCGGACAAAAACATATTTTCAATAAAAAAACATATAAAAAATCTAAAATATATGATAATTTTAAATTTTTAGAGAGCAATTATCTACTCGGTACATCCTCAAGTGGAAGCATTAACTAAGCTATGGAATGCCATTTGCAGCGTACGCATCCTTCAAACAAAAAAATTATCCTACTGAAGTAACTATTAGTGACGGAAAGTATCGTCACTAAAATATTATTTTGGATAAACTATATGTTTAGTACCTAAACTATTAATTTTGATCCGTTTTAGTACCTAAATTTTCAATTTTTTAAAAACCACACCTAAAGTTTAGTTTCGGTTTCATTTTAGTACACCAATTCAACATTTAACGTTAAATTTTTGGAAAAAAATAAATTTTTAGGCATTAAAACGAACCAAAATATATAATTTAAGTACTAAGCATTAAGTTTTTAACGACAGAGTATCAAAATGAAACAAAAACTAAATGTTAGTGTCGCAACGGTTCTTTTGGTGGTGTCGGGTTTATGCCTTGACTTGATTTGGATGATGGAGTCGCCGCGATGTTTTTAGGTTAAGTAGATTGGACACCTTAAACTTATTATTTTACCGGATCTGCATCTTACCATATAATTTTTGGATTCGGAAATCGATTACAATTGAGGAAAGATGAGCATCCTTATATTTCCTTTTCGTACCAACATGATTACCCGTTGTTGTAATTGCGAAAATTGAAATAAGGTAAAAATTTAAATTATCGATCCATATTACTTATCCTTAAAGAAATTTCAGAATTAAAAAGATTCTAAAAAAATAAAATAAAATAAATATTTAATTTAAAATAATACATTGTTATAGAAAAATAAAAGTATCAGGACACCAATTTATATAAAAATAAATTAAATTAAATTAAAAGGATAATCAATCAATTTAATGTGGATCAAATTGTAAATAAATGCTAACGACAATGATGATAAATAAATCGAGGACACTGAACAAATGGGAACGACAAGACGAGACTAATGACACCGATGGTGTCAAGCACGACAACTCAGAGGACGACAAAAAGATAAAAAAGTTAATGTGGGTAGATAATGAAAGATGGGGTGTGAGAAAGAGAGTGACATAAAACTTTTTTTTTCAAATGGGAAAGCAATGAAATTAAAAATAAAAGGGAATGTATTTCTTTATAAACCCTAAATCTGATTAGTTCTAAAGTACCATATTGGGCTACCGAGACAACCATTGATTCTTAAAAACTGTTCATTTTCATTTCAAAACATATTGAATGATACCAATTTAGTACATACATGACAATTATAAAAACGTTTTTAGAAATTGGAGCTCCATGACACATAGTTTAAAACTAAAATAATACAACTTAGAGTTATAAATCTAAATACAACTTAGAGTCATGTGAATATATATGCTCACCAAAGTTATAGTACATTACTTTAGAAGATATGTTGGAAGTTCTTCTACATTGGTGCTCCTCAAACGACTAAACTAATAACTTGCGAACAAAAACATGTACATGTTGAGCTTACAAAGCCCAGTAGTATAATAGCTAATCAAGAGCAGCAATATGAGTCTCATAGACATAAGCATGCTAAAGACATGATACTAAACACTAGGTATATGCATGATCATAAACAAGTTCTACCTACTTAAGGTTCAATTGTTCTATCACTTAAATATGAGTCTCACGTGTAACACCCTAATCTAGTTTTACCCGAAGATCAATGGATTACAATGCTACATTGGACTACCAAAAAAGTGACCCAAAAATTTCTTTAAAACTGTTTATAATCACTGAAATTAAATCATTCGTAGTAATGAAAATAAAACATGATAATTAGGATTTAAAAAAATGATGGGGAACTCCCAAAATATATCTTAAAATAATATAGTACCAAATACAAATAAAAGTTATGTCTGAGTACATATAAGGGTCTATAAATAGTATATGCCCTGTAAAGATGACTCAAGACGTACTCTGATGGTCTCTGGAAATCTGGTCTGCTACACTGGAATGTCTGGTGATGATAACTCCCCACGATATGCCCCTAAGAACCTGTGCACGGAAACTCATTTCGAACGTTGAGCTTACAAGCTCAGTGCCTCACTAATAATTGTACTATACTAAATGCATCCATTTAAATGAAAGGCTAGTGGCACAGGTCTGAAACATACTAAAATATTGATTTTCTATACTGTGGTTGGCATAATGGTGCAACTGAGGATTCTGCATCTCAGAGCTCATGCACCCCTCTAGCCTTTCTGAGATACCCTAGGGTATCTAGGGTGAGATCGAGAGATGCATCGAAATCGTACACCAACCAACTTACTCTATCGAGTCTTGGGGCATCATCTCCCAGTTGGTTGCTGAAGTACCTTAGCACTGTCTTGGATATCCACCGACTGATGTATTTTTGCTAAGAGAAACTCGGGTGTCCTCACTGTTTCCCGAGCATCAAACAAGGCTAGTTTTATATAACCTTAGTTGTTATTGTTTATATATTATGTTATTAATTACTATTATCACTTAAAGTTTTATTTATTGTTATACTGAGTATTTGGGGTACCTCAGGTCTAATCCCTTAAATTTGGGGTTATTTTTACCCAAAACTAATTATTGGTATCGATACTGAGGGGCCCCTAACCCGGTCTCGATACCCGATATGAGTATCGATATTTAAAAAGGCTACTGCAATTCTGGTCTCGATACCAAACCTATGGGTCTCGAGACCGTGACCCCAGTATTGATAACCTTGACTGAGTATCGATACCACTGCCCAGAAATCATGGGTTTTGCCCAAACTGAAGAATAATCTCGATACTGACTTCCAGTATCGAGACCCAAGCTACAAAGTGCACTATTTTGGCTAAAAAAATCCTATCTTTTTATCATAAAACCCCTAAAGAGGTCCCCAACTGATATTTAAATATTATGTATGATAATATACATAAAAAAAAGTCCATTAACAATGCTGGAAACACATAAACACCAAATCTACCACGAACAATGTCAAACTCATGCAACCTACCAAAACTCATCTATATAAGCTATTATGGTATAGCAGAGTTAACAATGAGTTACCTGGGTATCTAGGATGCTGATAGTGTCTAAAGCTCAATCAAGAATGAGATTTTCCTTCCATTAGCTTTGGAGTTTTCTCCAACTTCTCTTACTAATAAAGAAATCATGAAAGAGTTACTAACTAAATTCTAGAGGATATAAAGATTTAAGAACACTTCCTAAGACCTAAACTTTCTGAAAAATGGATTAGAACCATCTAGTTCCTTAAACCT